TGACAATAACAATTCCTATTAAATAAATGTGTGTCTGGTTTTAGGCTTCAATGAACCGGACTCTGCTATAGTTCTAGGTTAGAGATAATGCCAAATGTTTATCACAATAGTTTCTGTGAATAATATGTATTTAGTAGGGATTACAATGTTCATTCTTTAAAAAATCTAAGAAAAAAATAATTCTCGTCGAGGTTACAAAATGACAATGTTTGTTCCTCCAAAAAATCGTTGTCTTGAAATGTGGGAAGGTCCTAGAACGGGTGTTATGGGTGCAATAGATTTCTTTGGTGCAGATGAGGCAAGAATGTTAATTAATCTTTATAATAGAAATATTTATTTTATGTATCAATTAAATAATTGTAGTTATGTTGCAATGTATTTTTTTTTTTTTTTTCAAATTAGGCCATGGAATCGGCAAGATTCAATTCGAAGATCAAAGAGATAATTAAAAATTATAAAGATATCTATATTGATCTCCCTCCACGTACCAATATTCTCTCAACTGACAATATTCAAAAAAGTATAGGTCGAAATTATGGTACTTATACTTGACGTTATCATAACTATCAGAACCTTTAAAACTTCTAAATGAATTGGATTAATTTCATTTCATCAAAATTCTTTGTAATAAAGTAAAACCATTGAGTCGAATCATTCAGGAGTTAAGGCTGATCAAAAGCGACGCTGAAATAGCGTTAATGAGAAAAAGCGGTGAAATTACCGGCAAAGCATTTATTCAAGTAATTATTTTCATATAATCGCATCAACATGAATAAGGTGTAAATATATATATATATACACTTTTTTTTTTATTGTTAATAGACGATGAAATTTACAAAACCCGGATTATCAGAACACGATTTATATGCTAAAATAGACTTTGAATGTCGCATTCGAGGTGCACAGTTTCTCGCTTATGTTCCTGTAGTAGCTGGAGGGATTAATGCACTAACAATGCATTATGTGAGAAATGATATGCTATTACGGTATGTTCACTTACCTTAATATCAGTTTATAATATATCACGTAGAAAATAATGTGTATTTGCCGGAAGTATTTCGGCATTAAATTGCTAAAATATTTTCGGTATTATTAAATTGCCAAGATATTTTCGGCAACTCCATGTCAAAGATCAATGACGAAATACTTTCGGAGATGCCTCAATAGTTTCTATTTCATATATAAATTTACAGTCTTATTATGTGCATATATTTACTG